TATGGGCAAGCAGGAGGAGGAGAAGGAGGTCAGGGGACTTACGTTCCGATTCATCGGGGAGACGGATGCTTGAGAATGTTTGAGTGGAACGACTGATTCGTCTTTCTTGGTGCTTCTGTTGAATTCACGGATGACTTTGAGCTCTTGGAGAAGTCGACCGATTCTTTGGGCAAGGCCAAGGCTTCTGGTGCGCAGACTGGCGGCAAGACCAACAAGCGTAAGAACAAGAAGCGTTGAGGCGTTGATTCAAGGTGGCCGCTGAAGAGCAGAGCTTCGTGACTGGCCTCTCTAAACCCCGGGACGGATTGTGCGACCTTGATTGGCCTTGGGGATCAGACAAGCGACCCAAAGTTGCATGATGCGCCTTGAAGCTGCAACCAGTCTAGTCGTTTACGTAGACTATCCATCAATGCAAAATCCAGTACAAACAGGAGGCCACAATGTTGAAGACGTCAGTTCCTTGAGTGCGGGTACGTTGTGGCAGATACGGAGAGCCGGGGACAAATGTTTTCCATTCCATTTTCACACCGTCGTCCTCGAGCACCGGAGGAAAGGCTCAATGCGGTTACTGTGTTCCGTCAAACATGTCGCGACCCTGCGCAAGTGCGAGAGGCCATTTTCTCCCCCTCTGCATCTCGTAACTCTGTTTCGTCCCTTGCTGTTGCATCATAAGTGCATGGTGATTTGCTGGCACAGAAGCTCAAGTATTGCTCGGTTGCTCGTCCCTCTTCACGTAGCAGAGATAGGCTTTTGACAACACCAACACTAACACGCTCGATGATACTTGCTGGCATCCATCACAGTCAGTCAGCCACAGCCTTGGCTTGACTTGACTTTACTGACATTGAACCTAATTAGCCGACCTCTCCTATTTTCCCGTCTATATCCGTATCCGTCCAAGGTATGTTTCCCTCCTCCACCATTATCCAGACTTTCAACTGTCGGCCTGAAACAAAGGAGATCCTATGCCAAAAACAGACCTCTCGTACCTGGCTTATACCAAAAAGAAACAAAACGCGCAAGCCAAGCGCCCACCCCCGCTCTTCTACGATCTACTGCGACGACCAGGGCTTGAGCGCGCCGCACAGCAACCCAACGCTCGAGCCGCATGGTCGCCCGTTTCCGAGCCGGGTCCAGCTGCGCGGGCCCATTAACCTGATGTTTCCTTGCCCTCACCTCGTCTACCACGCTTTAGCGTCTGTTCGCCAGAGACGCCATTTGAACCGCTAGATGGAAACCCTATTTCAATCAAGACGCTACCTGCGTTCTCCTGCGCTTCTGACTGGCGAACATGTTGTTGGCTCCAAGGCCGTTCCCTGTCGCCTTGGACAGAGCTACGAAGCAGTCCAGGAACCTTCGCCAGCTTCGTCCCACCATTGTGTGCTGCCTCCTCAGACGCACATGAGCGGCTTTCCAAGATCCTCGAGGGCGTCGGGGATTGGAATCGAACCTCACTGGACGAGCGCTTAGTCACGATGGTCCCGCCCGCCACCGCCGTCTAGACTCGTGTTTTCAGGTAGCCCGGCTGTACAGACCCGGGGCACTAAGCTATTCTTAATACTGGCTCGTACGTCGAGATGTCAAGCTACCCCTAAACCTGGCTGCCAGTTCAGGAACTGGTCAAGAGGTCTTGATATGTATACCAAGTTGCGCCTCCCCCCCTTGACCCAGAAGGCTCCATCTTTCTCCCCCGTCGTCCGCTCTCACCCCCGGCCTTGTCCCGTCGACCCGGATCACACACTGCACATCCCATTCTGTCAGTCTGTGAAAGTAGACCCAATGTCACCCTCGTCATGACACCCAGGTGCAGATAATTCGAAAGACCAACCGCCTATTGAGGGTATCCTTGTGGATGCTTCGATCACATCATGGAGGATCGCAGCGGGCAAGTGCTGGCCGTGGCGGTCCTCTTCTTCATATTATGTTGGATCGCCGTCGGCCTGCGTATATACTGCCGTGGCTGGATTACACGCTCTCTCGGCACCGATGACAGGATAATGATTGCTCTTATGGTACTTTCCCATGAGACCTTAACATAATACTCAAGAGGAAAGACCTTGACTGACTCTGTTGGCAGCTCACCTTCACCATCTACCTCATCACTCAGATTCAAGGAGTTCGATACGGTACCGGCCGACATAGAGTTGATCTCACCCCGCAACAAAATCGCGACGCTCTCATGGTATGGCCAGCTCGAAAGTCTTCGGGTTCGAATATTTGCTGCCTGCATTTTCATGACTAACGCTCTCTCTAGTACTGGTACATTTGCGAACTACTCTACATTATATCAACCTGCCTCCTCAAAATCTCTGTCGGTTACTTCCTCATCCGCGTTTCTATCCGCCGCAGCCACATTTGGATCCTCCGCATTCTTATGCTCGGCACCGTACTTTTCGGCTCGACGTACTTCTTCATGGTCATGCTTCAGTGCCGGCCAATTCCAACGTTTTGGGAGGAATCACCACGGACACAGGGAAAGTGCTTCAGCAACCGTGTGGTTGTCATCATGACATTCACGGCCTCGATTATCAACTGTCTCGCCGACTGGGCGTTTGGGATTCTTCCCTTGTTCATCGTCTGGTCGCTCTCCCTCCCCAAGCGCACCCGACTCCTCGCATTTGGCATTCTTTCTTTTGCTGCCATCGGGTCTGCCGCAACCGTGGCGAGATCCGTATACATACCGACTCTCCTTAATGGCGACGACTTCCTATGGGCGACTACCGACGTGGCTTTGTGGAGCACCGTCGAGCCTGGCATTGGGATTACTGCCGCGTCGATTGCCACCCTCCGCCCTCTGTGGCAACTCATCTGGTACCGCGCGGGTGTGCGGTCCCAAGCGCCTCGTGCGATAGCATGGCGAGAACGCTTCAAGGGGCAACCGAGCTATGTTCGCAGCGATGGCTCTGACCCTCGTCACCCACGACACCCTGTCCCAGATGACGCACCCCTTGAAGAGATTGAGGCTGATATTCGGGCCGAGTTTGAGGCGGAGGTGCCTCGCATAGCTCAGTCCCAGGATGGGTACAGCTCATCGGCACCGACAAGACGGAGCGGCCTTAGCAAGGACTTTAACATCTCATATGGGAGAGATAGACACGACGAAGACGTGGAGTCTTTGGTTATTCCCCGCAACGACGGCGATGGTGGCCAATGGCTCTACCCATCACCCAGTGAAGTGAGCCCCTCTTCTTCTGAACATATTCATCTAATTGAGTCAAGCTCAGACTAACCATTACGCAGGAGGGAGACCAGGCGATTGAGCTCGAAGACAGCGTCCACTTGCCACCGAGAGTGAGATCACCCGCGCCGACTGTGAACTGGTGTTCACCACGCATGTCGGCCATATCCATGGGTTTCGGCTCCTTCAACCGCGACAACCGTGACTCGACACACTCTGCCCTCACCTTGGGCGTCGCCAACCACGATGGCGGAAACCCCGCGAGTAACCGAGCGAGCAGGCTAAGCAACGTCAGCAACATCAAGGACGATGACCGGACGCCCAGACTGAGCGCCCTCAACAGTCCAAGTCATTACAGAGACAGCAGGATGACCATGGAAACATATACGAACACGAATCCGCGCCATAGCAGGTTCGACAACCGATACAGCCGGACGACGAGAGCCAGCAGTCACTACACGCGCGGCTCGCAGTTCCTGGTGCCGCCCTCCCCCGGGGACTTCCCCCTGCCCAGCCCACCTACCAATGCGTGGCAGGTCAACGTACCCGGGGGAATGAACTCTGCGCAGTGGCTCTCTTCTAGGATGGCGGAGCACCCCGGTCATCCGGGTAATAAACGATAGCAGACCTAAGCATACCTACCCTACCATTCTCATCACAACAAAGACAATTATATCACACCTAGTTATCGACGATAATATATACCCGGCGTACAGGATACCACCACTGCTTGAAATTTCGGAAACGGGGGAACGGGCGGGAGAATACTGCCTTATGGGGAAGAGAGAAAAAATAATCACAAAGAACTCCAGGCTACTGTCCTCGGGGGGGGGGGCTTTGGGGAATGCAGTATGGAAAAGTACAGACGAATGCCATGGCGTATGATGTATGATATATAGACCTGACGTACCTACCAAGGTATCTCAACAATCCGAATAGAAATTTGTTCAAGGAAACCGGCACATGTCATCAGTGGGGTTGCTGCTACTGTACCTGCTTAGGCAAGCAAACCTGGTTTGATAACCGCAAGATGAGTTCTCTCCTCAGCCAGGCCATCGTGTATGAGCGACTCCAGGCTCGGCTAGGTAGACTGCAAGAAACCTGAATACGACACCTCTAGGACTTACAAGCGGGAGGGCGCCTATGCCTCTTGGAAACTCTTAAGGCCCTCACTGGCGACAAGCAGAACGCCACTTGAATCATCTCGGGTCGCGACTGCGGGAGGACCAGGTTAAATCATCCACAACAAGAGAGCAGAGCTTCGCAAGTGGGATATAATATATTGCCTGAGGCAAGCCCCAAAACATATCGTCAACGACATGGCAGCAAGCAGATATCTTCCATCAAGTCACCGTCGTCGTCAGCCCGGCCTTGAAGAATGTAATGTTTTATTGTTTTGATCGTCCTGTTCGTTCCTCATGCCTGCCTCATGGTATACGGCCAATTGCTTATTCATAACCTTGACAAAACGAATTAAAAAAAATTAAGACAAAAGAAAACTGGGCAAGGGACACGTTTCCCAAGGGGAGGCAATCCAACAGTTGTCCTCCTCATTATCCGGCGTTGCCTGTCCATGCAGTGTAACTAACAAGATAGGTGTCTGCTGCTATGCTGAAAGTATGTATGCCATGGCTTTCTTTCTTCCTCGCATCAAATTTCCATGGCCTCGATGTTACCGCCTCCATAGTGCTGGAACGCACCATATTGGTTCTCCATTTGCATCTGCATCTGGAGGCTCTGCTCCCGGGCCCAGTCGTCGCCAAAGCCCTTGTAGACGGGGTCGGTGGCCGGCTTATAGCTGCTGCCGACCACGGCAGAGCCGTAGTGGGAGTAGTTGCTAGGGGGGGAGGTCTGGGCCTGCTCGCGCTCGTACTCACGACGCATGAGCTCCTCGTAACCGGACATCATATATGGCTCGACATGCTGGGTAATGGAACTTGCCAGCCAGCGGCTGTCGTCTGACTGGACTTGGGTGCCGTCAAGGCTCATGACGGCGTTCTGCTGCTGCTGCTGTTCCTGTTGCTGCTTCTCCGCCTCCATGCGCTCATACCGGAGTCTTGCGAGCTGCTCCTCTTGCTCTAGAGTTGTGCTCGTCCATGCCAGCGAAGGATTTTCTGTGCTCGAGGTGGGCGGTGCGGCGCGCCATATCTCAATGAGCCGCAACTGGTGGGGTTCTTCGGAAATTCGGAAAAGTTGAATCTGAGAAGGAGAGAGGACTGAAGGGTCGACGCCTTGCTGGCTGAGGACAGCCTCGGGAGTCAGCTGCTCAGTCTGAGGAGGCTCGGAGGAGGGACGCTGAATGGGGGCTTCTTGAGCTTGCTGCTGGCGGACGACGTGGGCGGAATGGGTGTAGTGTTGGGTGATGGAGTAAATGATGGGGGCCGGAGTTGGAGAGGGACTGGCGAGGGCCAGGTCCGGGGACTGCTTTACTTCTTCTTCTACTTTGGGTTGAACTTCAGGGTTGAGAGTTAGGTTGCGGGAGAAGAGGGTTGCGAGGTCATCTTGGACCTGCATGGTGGGGGTGAAGGAAACCATCGTACTACACAGGCTGTTAGTAGTGATTCGTTGGTGTCATGTCTGATTCCGTGTAACTCCCGATACAGCGGGTGGGCCATCTCCGACAAAAGGCCGGCGGGGCTCCGGGGCATGATGCTGATGAACGAGCCGATGTACATTGGGAGTTGGCGGGAAGAGGAGAAACTTGCCTTTCTGGTTGACGGGATGGTAGTGATTGAAAAGCCCGAAAAGGCCCTTCGTCGTAAAGCTGCTTGCTGTGGAAGTAAATCTTGTCGGGGGTGTGAGCAAAGAAGACAGAAATGTGCTGTCTTCTTGATGCTTGGTTTCTTGGCTTGATAATCGGTTTCGGGGGTTCGGACAGCGGTAATAGAAGAGAAGTGGTTTCTTATATTGGCTACTCTATGTAGGTACTCTCGAGGATTTCTTCTTCTTCTTGTGTTGTTGAAAGCAAAAATAAGTGCACAGAAACTCGAGGAAAGAGGAAAAGCGACAGCGTAGAGTCACAGGAAAGCAACGGTCGAGGGGTTTCGTGAATCGGGTTCGGTGCGGTGATTCCTTGGGCAGGAAGACAGCAGTAGTGGTACCAGGGTTGGAGACGGGGTGGATGTGAAGTGGTGCGGCAAGGTCAGCGGATGCAGTGGGAACGGGTTAGTGGTGGGGGGTTGTCGTTGTCGTCGTCGATTTCTCGAGGTTAGACGGCGGCGGCACTCTGGCGGGTGTAGCTAGTCAATAGCGGTTGATGAAGTTCGTGCCGGGTAGTGCGAAGAGCCAGGCGAGGTACTATTTAGCAAAGAGTAAAGAACCGGAAATGAGGAATCTGAACTCAAGAAATATTGGATTATATATGGCAGAAGGAGTCACGGCCAATTTCCAGGCGGGTAAGGTAGGCAAGGAGGGGGACAGAATGGAAGTGGAGGGGGGCAGGCACGAGGGGGAGGGGAGGCCTGGCAGGGGAGATTGCCTTAGCTAGGAAGGAGGGGCAATTTACCGGGCAGGGTCATGACGCAGCGAGCCCCGACCCGTGCCCCGTCGAGGGCAATGTGACCCGATGCAGATTCACAGGCTGGCTGTCTTCAGTTTATTCGGGTTCTCAGCGCACCTTTCCACTGAAGCCGGGCCATCTCTTTCGTCCCATCCACCTCATGGCCCAAGGGATCCCGCCTCCGTCTGCATCCACACATCACCACTAATAAATCACCAACCTAACCAACACTCGCTCGCACCAACCAACGCTAACCGACCCCGGCCCAAGGCTCCAACCAAAGTAGTCCCTTGATTAGGCAGGAATGACTGGCTACCTGATATGCCAGTGCAGTCCCACGTGGTTCTTCTCTCCTTATTTCTTGTGAGGACGAGCATCAACTGGAAGCATGGCTAATGCTCAGTCAGGTTGTGTATGAATTCGATACCTAATCCTGTCATTACATCCATCCTACGAGTACGGGTAGTGGTGGTGGCCGGCCATGCACACATCCCCTGGCTGAGGGCCCGGTAGCAAGCGCCGACTTGAAACATATTCTCTCCCAGATCCGCACTCCTCACCCAATGGTTCCGTGACACGATCAGTCCACACAGCTTCTGGAAGACCACGGAGGTATCAAACCAGTCTCCCGTGACACACTCCAGCCCACCCGCCATCATATGCGCACTCTGTAATACTTCTCCTACATAGTAGGATGCTCAGCCTTTGGTATGACGTGGGGACAATATTTCTTGGACTTGGTGCAAATGCTCGATACTTCTGCCATCATGCCAGACTCTCAATGCCGCGTTTCTTGCGATCCAAAAAGTTCTCAACACTCTCTGTCTTTACTCGAGCTACTTCGACATAGGCTCGGGATCCCAGTCCGGTGCGTCTTCACCGCTCCTCCTCGAAACCCCGTCCCAACATTCGTTTCGCCGGATCCATCCGGGCCTGGACTCCTTCAAGTCACGGTACTATCGGTACCGACGATTGTGACAACCATGACAAACCCTTCAACGACATCCTGTCTCTTGCAGCTTCCTCAGACGGACGACTGTCCATCATGCATCGAGAGCACCCAAAAGTCAAGAAGCTGTGCCAAATCCGCTTCATCTAAAACTAATCTGGTTTGACTGGTGCAACAACTCGTTGTCCCTCCATGTGACTTCACATTGCCTCTCTCCTCCCGATAACCCCTCTACAGCACCTGGCAGCTGCATACCACTGCAGGGTCAAGTGCGGGATAGTGGGGTATTGTCAATTCCCCTGTCAGCTTCGGTGTTCACGATGACGGGAGACTTCACAGGCTTGCAGCTGCTGCCAGTGTTCCTGTCAGCCACATCACCTCAACACACGCCACACCTTTAAAGTGGCTGGTGTCTTCCCTCTCATCTGGGTCCACCCCCAGCTTCCCTCATCAACCTGAGGCACCCTTGCGTCCAGCCTCACCCGTCAACCTCGCACAGCAACACGCAGCTCAGGTTGCCTGAAGCTCTGATCTCAAGGCTCCAGATTCCCCAATTCTAAACCACGTCCCGCTATCGTCATCCACCACCATACAAGCTCTCCCACGATCAGACAACGTGCCTACGACGACCACCCCATCACGATTCCCTTCGACGCCCAACGAACCCTCCAGTCCCCAAGCTCAAGGCTACGCAGCTGAACCCTTTTCCAAATACCCCAAGCTCTTCTAATTCACGATGGTAAGCTTTCCCTTGCTAGGTCCCGGGGGAAACACCACCTCCATCGACCGGGGGTTGGCAGGAGCTACCATAACCGACCAACCCAAGCTACAACCCATGGTCGCGGCACATCGCTAACGCAATGCCTCTCCCACCTCGTGTAGACGTCGATAGGCACAGGCTATGACCTGAGCAACTCCATCTTCTCCCCCGACGGCCGCAACTTCCAGGTCGAGTACGCCGTCAAGGCCGTCGAGAACGGCGGCACATCCATCGGCATCCGCTGCAAGGAGGGTGTCGTCCTCGCCGTCGAAAAGATCATTGCCTCGAAGCTATGGAAGCCCAACGCCAATAAGCGCATCGCCACGATTGACAGACATCTCGGTGTTGTAAGTCATCCCTTCCCCTCCCACAATCAGCAGTTTACCCCTCCCTCCCCTGTTCCCGTATGCAACATGACTTCCGCAAGCAGCTTTGCCACAACTCACGGCTTGCATTCTTGAATGCCTTTCCTCTTCATCTCATGCTTACAATCAAAAGGTCTACTCAGGCATGATCCCCGACGGCCGCCACTTTGTCGACCGCGCCCGCGAAGAAGCCCGAGGCTGGCGCGAGACCTTCAAGACTCCCATCTCCACTGCCGACCTCGCAGCCCGCATGGGCGGCTACCTTCAAGCCTATACCCTCTACTCCTCCGTCCGCCCCTTCGGCATTACCGCGATTGTCGGCGGTTTCGACCCTTCTACCGAGACCCCCGTCGACGGCGAAGTCGGCTCTGGCCCCAAGGTCGGTGCCGGTGGCAAGGATACCACCAAGAAGCACGGCGGTCCCTTCCTGTACATGATCGAACCTTCCGGCCTCTACTGGGGTTACTACGGCGCTGCTACCGGCAAGGGCCGCCAGGCCGCAAAGGCGGAGCTCGAGAAGCTCGACCTCGCCGAGGGCGGGCTCACGTTGAAGGATGCCATTAAGGAGGCTGCCCGCATCATCTACGTCGCCCACGACGACAACAAGGATAAGGAGTTTGAGCTCGAGATGAGCTGGATCAGTGACATTGACGGCCCCACAAAGGGCCGCCACGAGGAGGTGCCCAAGGAGCTGCGCGAGGAGGCGGAGCGGTTAGCTAAGAAGGCGCTCGAGGGCGATGACGATGATGACGAGGACAAGAAGGAGGATGACAAGATGGAGGAGTAGACTTACGAAAGAGAGGAGTCACTGGGTGCCGGTGCAGTACGAGTGGTAGAGCGGAGGCATTACGACAGAAAGAGACGAAATCAAAAAGAAATCTGTCAAACACACAAGAAGGGAAGCTTCCGCCGTTGAAGGAGGGGGTTCCAGAGGACCTTTGTGTACTTGTAAAAACACCATGATGAGGACTATGGCGGCTGGATCATAGACTAATCAGACCTGGTTTGGGCACGACGCGTTTACAAGGACTCGAGTGATGAGTGTTCCCATTGCTAGCGGATCTCGTGGCTACAAGGGCCTTTGATCGTCCTGGTTCAGGCGACGTACTTACCTTTCAGCTACTTTATATCAGCAACATCAAGCACCTCCGTCACATTCAATGCGCCCCTGGTACAGGAAGATTGAGGAAACAATATTTTGATATTGTATCTAAATGAGAAGACCCGAGTACTACGTTGACCGCCTAGAAGGCAGAGGCACATTAGAAGGAGAATCCTGTAAGACGTACCAGTTTCCGAACCTTCAAGAATATATAAGAAAAAATTATTCTTAAAAAAAAAGTAATTGTATTCTTAAAATCTGTACCATTGGCTAGTTGAGTGACAAGTTGCTATACAAGTGACCTCCAGACTCATTCCCTGGTTATAGGGGACAGTCTAGGATCTTGCTCTGCATTATGTCAATCGCACTGCTATCGCGGCAGATCTCCTACAAGTAAAATGTTTAATCCTTCTACTGTCCGTCCCTGGGCTTCATCCATCGCATGTGTCGTATTCTGGCAGGAACAGTCTCGATTAGACGAGAGACGCCGGTTCGTCTACGCACGCTTGACCGTGGTGTGAAAACATCGGTCAATGCAGCGTCATTCAAACTCTCCAGCAACCTTGCCAAATGCCAGCGTTCTGCATATCGACAATCTCCCAGACCTTGGACCCTGCCATGTTGAATTTCTGCAATCCCTGGGCGTCACCGGGTTTGAATACCTGCGCGCCAAGGGCAGTGGTTTCGAGCAGGAAGCGGGAGGTTCACGGCACAGAAGCCAACCGGTTGGGTGAAGGGGGGGGGGGGATCATAACACGTTGGCACTTATTTTTCAATGTATGTCAATTCAAACTACCAATGTAAACCGTTCATCGCGCCCCAGACATTTTTCTCATGTCGAATTCCATGCCTCTTTGGTTTTCTCGCTAAATATTTGGAATCATCAAATTCAGAGAAAGTTGCCGCTGTACCCTACCCAGCCCAGTCCCTTTCCATTCAAGCCTTGACAATTCTGCACACCAAGTCGGAGCCGTCGACTGAGTCACCTTCCTTGACCTGGAGGGTCGACACCTTGCCGTTGTGTGGGGCGGAGATGACCATTTCCTAGGATTGGGTGTTAGTAAACAGACGGTCATACCACCTGGATATATAAAGTGAACTTACCATCTTCATGGCGCTGAGAACAGCAATGGGGTCACCCTTCTTGACATCAGAGCCCTCCTTGACACGAAGCTCAACAAGCACACCAGCCATGGGCGCGCCGACTTGGCTGGTGTCGGAGGCGTCGGCCTTGGGACGGCTGACGTTCTCGACCGAGGCCTTGTTATCGTCGACAGTGACCTGTCTGACCTCACCGTTCATCTCGTAGAACACCTCGCGCTGTCCAGTGTTCTCGCTCAGGGGGCCGATGGCCAAAAGCTTGAGAATTAGAACCTTGCCCTTCTCCAGCTCAACGTGGAACTCCTCGCCAATCTCGGGACGGGACAAGAAGTACTTTGTCGGCAAGACGGACAGATCACCGTACTTCTGGATGAACTTTTTATAGTCCTCAAAGACCTTGGGATACATGACGTACGCGGCGATATCGCACTCCGTGATGGGGCCGCCGAACTTCTTGTGCAGATCGCGCTTGACCTTGGTAAAGTCGACCGGCTCGAGGAAGAGACCGGGGCGCTTGTCCAGCTTTCTGCGGCCGCGAAGGGCGTCGGAGCGCAGAGGTTCGGGGAATCCGCCGTACGGCTGACCCATCAGGCCCTCGAGGAATTCGAGAACGGAGCCGGGGAAGTCAAGCTCACCAGCGCGGGCCTTGACGTCCTCAGCGGATAGTTTGTTGGAGACCATGAACTGAGCAAGGTCACCAACAACCTTGGAGGTAGGGGTAACCTTGACAATGTCGCCAAGAAGGTCGTTGGCGTGCTCGTAGGCCTTCTTGGTCTCGGCCCACTGGGTACCAAGGCCAAGCTGGGAGGCCTGGAACATCATGTTGGTGAGCTGACCACCGGGAATCTCGTGCTCGTACACCTCGGGGTCTGGTCCGCTAAGGTGGGCCTCGAAGGGAGAATAGAGAAGACGCAACTGAGACCAGTAGAAGTCCAGAGCGCGGACGTGAGCCGGGTTCAAGCCAGTGTCGTGCTCACTGCCCTCGAGAGAGGCGATGATAGCGTTGATGCTCGGCTGGGAGGTCATACCGGACAAGCTGTCAGTGGCAGCGTCGACAGCGTCGGCACCAGCCTTGGCGCAGGCGACCATGGATGCAACACCGGTACCGGCAGAATCATGGGTGTGGACGTGGATGGGGAGATCAGGGTACTTGGCACGAATAGCACCGATCAGCTTGGTCGCTGCGTGCGGCTTCAAGACACCAGCCATGTCCTTGATGCCCAGGATGTGGATGTTAAGTGCGACAAGCTTCTCGACCAGGCTGAGGTAGTACTCGAGGTTGTACTTCTTCTTGGGGTTCTAATTCAATGTCAGTGGAAACGCTCGACTGCCAAGCTGTATATACTGTGGGAGCAGGAAGAAAAGCGCGCTGAATGGAAAAAAAAGGGGGGTGTCCAGAAAAGTTCATAACAAGAACGAAAGTCCATTGTAATCGACTCCGTAAAGCCCAGTAGAATTTCAAAGAACAGAAGCGTGAGTAGAAACCGAACGATGTGCTTGACTTGGCGACCTTTTTGAGGTGCTTCTTGGTAGCCAGTTCACAGCTAAGTTTCTGCTGGGTCTTGGCTGAGAAATTGCACACTTGGATGGGAGAGATCCGCGGGTAGAAGAGGAGAGGAGAAACCTTCATAGACGTTGGTCCTCTCTCCTCCTTCCCTGCATCTTTTCTCCTGCTTCAAGTTTCTCGTTCTCACCCTCCTTCTCACGTGCCCTTGCATAAATGGGGAGAAGGATGTAACAAGTGGCAGATGCAACAGCCACTCGAATGTACAATGAAAGCGAGTAGAAAACTCAAATGAGTAGAAAAGTGGAAACGAATGCAAAAGTTGACTTACAAGCATATCTCCGCTGAAGCACACCGTGCCTTCGACGACACCACCGGCCTTGTGGACGGCCTTGATACCGACCTCGAGCTGGTCAATATCATTCAGAGCGTCAAAGACACGGAAAATGTCAACACCGTTCTTCTTGGCCTGCTCAACGAAGTGGTCGATGGCGTTGTCGGGAAGCGACGAGTACGCAACACCGTTGGCGCCACGGAGAAGCATCTGGAAGGGAATGTTGGGAACTGCCTTTCTCATGCGACGAAGACGGTCCCAGGGGTCCTCGTAGAGGAAGCGGTAGGCAACATCAAAGGTGGCACCTCCCCAGCATTCCAGAGCGAACAGGTTGCTCAGACCGTGGCTAGTCTCCTTGGCAATGTTGAGGAGATCGACAGTTCGGACACGGGTGGCCAGCAGAGACTGATGGGCATCACGCCATGTGGTATCCATGAGCAGCGTTCCCTTGTACTCACGCACGGCTTTTGCGAAGGCCTCGGGGCCCTGCTCGGTAATGATCTCTCTCCAGCCCTTCTTGCAAGTCGCGGAGACATCGATCTTGGAACCATCGTCGTTGAGGAGCTCGGGGAGAATGATGTCACCCTTGAACTTGGGCTCGCCAATCTGGCCCTTGATACTGCTACCGTTCACGGCGACATCACCGAGGTAGGCGAGGAGCTTCTGGGCACGGTTCTGGCTGCCGATGAGGTCGAACAATTGAGGAGTGTCGTCGATGAAGGTGGTCCAGCAGTTGCCGTCAATGAATGTGGGGTGGGTAAGGAGGGAGGCGAGGAAAGGAATGTTGGTCTTGACGCCGCGAATACGGAATTCGACAAGGGCACGGAGGACCTTTCTCCTCGCAATCTCGTAGGTAGAACCGTGGCATGTGCACTTGACCAACATGGAGTCGTAATAAGGGGTAATGACAGCACCGGCGAAACCGTTGCCACCGTCGAGACGGACACCGTTACCACCGGCAGATCGGTAGACCTCGATCTTGCCAGTATCGGGCTGGAAACCCTTGGCGGGGTCCTCAGTAGTGATTCTGCACTGGATGGCGAACCCTCTGGTGGAGATGCGGTCTTGGGTCAGACCGAGCTGTTGCAAGGTGGCACCGGCGGCGATCTGGATCTGTGCGGCCACGATATCAATACCGGTGATCTCCTCCGTAATGGTGTGCTCGACCTGGATACGGGGGTTGATCTCGATGAAGTAGTATCTGTTCTGCTGGTCGACCAAGAACTCAGCGGTACCGGCGTTGCGGTAATTGACCGACTTGGCCAGCTTGACAGCGTCGTTGAGGATAGCATCGCGTACATCGGAAGGAAGGTCCTTGGCAGGGGCGATCTCGACGACCTTTTGGTGGCGACGCTGGACGGAGCAGTCACGCTCGTAAAGGTGGACAATATTGCCGTGGTTGTCACCGAGCAGCTGCACCTCAATATGCTTGGGCCTGTCCAAGAATCTCTCCACGAAGACCGTTCCGTTGCCGAAGGCGGACTTGGCCTCGGAGGTGGCTCTTTCAAAGTTCTCCTTCAAGGTCTCCTGGTCGCGGACGACACGCATACCACGGCCGCCACCACCAAAGGCAGCCTTGATGATAATGGGGAAACCATATTGATCGGTGAAGCTCTTGACTTCCTCAAAAGTCGCAACGGCGCCTTCGGTACCGGGAACAACGGGGACACCGGCAGCGATGGCGAGGGTTCGGGCAGAGACCTTGTCACCGAGAGAGTCAATGACATCGGCGGAGGGTCCAACGAA